ATCATTTCCACCAATCACTCCCATTCCTCCTTCCCCCACCCTCCATAACCACAAACTTCTGCCCCCTTCTAATACTGCATTTTTAAAAAAACATCCAAATCCTCTTCCCACCCCCCCCCCCAAAGCTCACTTTTCACTAGCCCCCTTTCTGCCAATATCATTTTACTCACCCCCAACTTCCTCCCCCCTTAGTTTATCACTTTCACTTCCCTCCTACTTGTTGTTGCCCCCTTCCCTTTCCCATTACTCTTACTCTAACTGTAACTACAACTAAATAATGATCCATATATTATTTCCCCCATATAAACGTGTACTTTCCGGAACCTCCCCATCAACCTTTTATCCCCCAATACAAATCTAACAACTATTTATTACGTGCTACATCATCGCATATTTATTTATCCTCTTTTTCATAAAATAGTTTTACTTATTCCCAAATTTCTTTCACACATAGCTCAATTAAAGGCTCCCCTTTTAAATTTTTACCCCTGGACCCCAAAAATTTCCCTACTACTCCCTCCACAACATTTTTACCACTTTTACATTGAAATCCCTAACCACAAGTACTCTTACTTTTGATTCAAAACTCCCCACGCTTCACTCAACATTTCCCAAAATCTCTCTTCTTCTTCACTTCTCTCTTTCCGGGTGATATACGGGTTACTAAAACCCCACTTTTCCATCCAACCTTTTTTTTTACCCCACATAACCCTTAAATTTAATACATTTATAGCCCCCTCTTTTCTCCCATATCTTACCCTTCAAACATTATTCTACTCCCTTCTTTAGCTCTAACTCTTTTTTGAAACCCCTGATTTAATCCCATTTATTCCTCTCCACTAAAACTCTCCCACCCCCTTCACTTTGTTCCCCTTAAAAACCAGGGGCACCACTTTTCTCATTCATAAAAAAACCACAATCAACCTTACATTCGCACAACATCCCCGCACATTCAGACTTCCCCTTTGACAATTTTTTTCTCTTATTCTTTTTTGTAATCTTTTTCAGGAAAAGGGGGTTTCTACCCATTATAATATTATATTTTTATATATTATAATAATATATATATATTATAATTAAATATATATATATTATATAAAATAATTTTTATATTTTTAAAAAATTATAAAATAATTTAAATATATATATATAATAATTTAATAAATAATTATTTTTAAAATTATAAATTTAAAATATTTTAAATATATTATATATATAAATATATATTAAATATATATATTTTTATAATATATATATTTAGATAAGGTAAGGAGTCTTTGTGCATTTATGGATTTGGAAAAGGGCGGGATACAGGGTGATAGGGGGGCAATGTGGCAAGTTTTCAAGTTATGGTGTAGGAGGGAGGTTTAAAGAAAGCATTTAAGAGTTTTTACGAGTTAGGCTCAAGTTAGAGTATGAGGAAAAAGGGAAATTTTTTTTCCCCGTAAAAGTAGGGCCCTTTGAAAGGATGGTGATGTCACCGTGGTTGTTTAAAATATTTATAGATGGGGTTGTAAGGAAGAAATGCGAGGGTCTTTCAAGAAGGGGTAGTTAAAAAAAAAGAATACACACAAAGTGGGGGTTTTCAAGCTGCTCTTTGCTGATGACAGTGCCTTGGGAGATTCTGAAAAGAAGGCAGAGATTGGTGGATGAATTTGGTAGGGGGTGCAAAAAAAAAAATTAAAGGTAATACAGGAAAAATAAGGTTATGAGGATAACAAAAAAATTAGGTATGAAAGATTTTAAAAAATCAGATTGGAGGGGGAGAGATGGAGGAGGTGAACGTATTCAGATATTGGGAGTGGACGTTTCAGCGGATGGGTCTATGAAAGATGAGGGAATCTAGAATTGAGAGGGAAAAAAGTGAGTGGTGCCTTGGGAGTCTGTGGAACAAAGAACTTTGTCCTTGAGGCAAAGGGGGGAATGTTAGAGTATGTTTTACCAACGCTCTTTATGGGTGTGAAGCTGGGTGATGAATGTTGCAGCGAGGAGAAGGCTGGAGGCAGTGGAGAGTCATGTCTGGGGCAAAGTGTGGTGTGAATTAATGCAGAGAAAATTTGTAGTTTGGAAGTTAGGAGGAGGTGCGGGGTCACCAAAAATGTTTTCCAAGGGGGGAGGAAGGGTTTTGAGGTGGTTTGGACGTAAGAAAGGAGCGAAACAGAATGACTTCAAGAGTTATCAGTCTGTAGTGGAAGGAAGGCGGGGTAGGGGGCGGCCTAGGAAAAGGGTTGGAGGGGGGGGGTAAAGGAGGTTTTGTGTGCGAGGGCTTGGACTTCCAGGAGGCAGCTGAGCGTGTTTGATAGGAGTGAATGGAGACAAATGGTTTTTAATACATGACGTGCTGTTGGGAGTGTGAGCAAAAGTAACTTTATAAAGGATTCAAAAAACCCGGGCGGGCCCGGACTTTGAGTCCTGGAATGGGAAGTACGTGCCTGCACTCTGAAGGAGGGGGTTAAGTTGCATTTAAAAAAATGTAGTGTAAACACCCTTCTGGCAAGAC